GGGGCACTCACCGTGGATCCTCGAAATCACCCAGGAACCGATAGTGAGATCAGGTCATCTGGGCTGGTCCCACTATCGGTCAGCTGGTCAACTTTTTATAACAACCTTGTGAGAGTTCAAAGAAAAACAACATCAGTTACAACCATACCGAGGTTTATGCAAGCCCGAACGTGGAGACCGAGAGAATCTTTGATGTTGTTGACACAATCCATGCGTATAAAATCATGCATTCACGTATGACGCCAACACCCGACGGACATTTTCACCTTACAACGGTTACTGTTATACTTTTTTATAATTCCATGCTTTGATACTCAACTTCAATACTACACCGTTCATTCTCAAACACGAATAACACTCTGGTAAATGGTCGATGAAGAATGATGGAGTAGTGAATGACCTATACAAAGGTAAGGCAGTGCCAAGGGGGAAATTCTCTAATACAGCGCGACTCTAAGACAATAGATATACACAAACTAGATTGAGCGATGATTTACGGCACAATGGAATAGTCATATACGTACAATGGTAAGTGAATCATACAAGTGAGAAGGGAATATCACAAAGAATTTCACGCACACACACAAATTATGGAGGAATTTATATGCTAATCGATGATTATGAATTCGAAATAATGCCTGTCGAAAAAGTGAACATGCTTGGGTATCTGTGTATTGAGGTTGGAATATGTGGAATAGAATGTACGACTGCATCTGAGATGGTTAACGAGCCCATGAAGGAGCATCCTGCGTTCGTTCCGCAATGCTCGATGAATAGGTAGTATAGGGAGCAAGGGGATCTGTTTTCGATTTCCTCAACTCAGAAGGTTGTCCATGCCAATTGACGGTTTTCGTCCACGTCCTCGTACTAGATCCACCTTCAGTAACACCGGGAGAAGGAGCAGATTGCTGCTGGGCTAGATTGAGTTCCTCGATAGACATGTTGAGTGATTCCATCAAGCGTTTTGCAGCTTCACCTTGAACGTAGTTCAAATGAACGGCTTTAGGAATGGAGTACCGACGACCGGTATCAGGAACTACTATCTCGCCCGTGAGGACGTCAAGTAGACCGGTTTCAGCAGCTTCCCGTACCGAAAGCCTTTGACCTCCAGATGGATTCGTGATGATTTTTTCATCGGTATCGAAACGGTTCGCTTCGAGATTCGCTAGGAACTCGTGCTGTAAGTCAGCCAAAGTCGAAGGGTCATCAATGATACTTCGCGCTCGATCGCCAATATTCGTCTGAGAGTGACGCATCCTCACTGTCAGAGAGGGCTCAGCTTTTTGTGGTGTCAGACGAACTATCGTCTCTTCCCGGAATTTGGGCACACTTGTTCTGCTACCTCGGCTCTCGCCACCGTAGTTCTCGATTTTGAACTTGTAACCTTCAGCATCGCGCCGTTTAACAGCTTCAGCTACAGCTTGAGCAGCCTGCATGGGTGAAGCAATCAAGGCGATCAGACCTCCTTTGACTGCATCTCTCAACGTCATCTTCAAGTTTCCGGCGATGTATTTGCCATCGCTATCAATTTTTCGCCGTACGAGAGCTTCCCTGAGAGTTAGCGTTTGACCGCTCTCCAAATCGTGGAGCAGTGAATCGCCGTCAATTACATCACGTTCAACAGCATCTTTGAATGTTAAGTGCAAACTGGTCCGTTTGTCCCGAATACGGCCTGAGTTTTCATCGAACTCCTCAGAATTGATGATATTGCTGAGATTCTTTTCATCCGATCCTTCCATAGCTTCCACATTTCCCGTATCGATGTATCCCTGCTCGATGGCCTGCGCAATTGTCATTTGACGTCCAGTGTCCTGGTCTGTGAAGATGTTAGAAGTCACGTCAATAAGTCCTTTTCCGAGCGCTTCGGCAAAGTTCAGTTTGTCGATTTGTCGAAGTTTTTCACCAATTTCCCGTGGAATTCTGCCGTCTTCCACAGCTTTGGCAATAGGGACAATGCTGTGGCGGGAAACTTGGATGGTCTTATTTTTAGGGTCAACAAGTTTTGCATCTACCGCCTCGACGAGATTCAGGCGTCGGTTTGTTCGATAGTCCTCCAAGAAAGGCTTCGTTAAAGCGTCGTACGTACCACTGTCTATAAGACCGCGGTCCACAGCATCCTTCAATTCGATGTCTTCCTCTGTGATCGGATTATGATACTTTCCAGTTTTCGGGTCTATCAAACCTTCATTCAAAGCGTGCGTTACAGGAACGCGCTGGCCCTTCGTGGGATCGAACACGCCGTCGCTGGTTATCGCTTGGTAGACTGATTTTATTATATCCAGCCACGTGAGACGTTTTCGGGTGTGAGGATCTCGAACTTCTCCTGTTCGTGCATCTATGATGCCCATTTCTATTGCTCTCTTGATTGGAATTCTCTCATTGTTGGTTGGATTACAGACACCTTTAGGTAGAGTTTCGGCAAGAGTGACATCAACAAGGCCCATGTTTGCGGCCTGTGTGAGAGGGATAGATTCACCAGATTTAGGATTTCTGTAGCTAAGTTCGCGTATGTCAATGATTCCAGCTCGAATAGCATCTTCCAAACTGATCTTTTCCATATGAGCATCAAGTACACCATTGTTAAGAGCATTTTGGATATTAGAACGGAACACTGAGTAGGTCTTGGTCATTTGTTTTCCTTTTTTATCCACACGGGCCAATCCTATCCGTTTCGCATCTTCCAGGGACATGGTACGGCCGTTTCGCTTATCTCTGATTCTGTCAATTCCGACGAACTCAGCGTGTGGTTCAAGCTCTACTGACTGCACCTGAGAAGTACTCTTCACAGTAGTTTTTGTCTCCGTTACGAAGGGATCACCGTGCATCTGGATAGTGAATTTCATTCCAGTTGAAGGGTCGACATATTCACCTTTTTCGACGCCACCTTCACCTCGAACCACTTTTACCATTACTTGTTTTCCTCCTCCAAGATCCACGTACTCATGTCGATCGTCGCCATTACGGCGATGAACAACCTGTTGAGGTGCAAAAGGTGTCAGTTGTAGCTTCTGTTCGACGATTTTATGAGCACTATGAGATGGTCGGGTTGCAGAGCCAGCTCCAGCAATCAGTCCTGTGGTTAGAGCCTGAGGGAAACTCGTAGCCTCATTAGTTTGCTGGTTATGGATTAGCCCTCGCTCTGGATCAACAATACGACGAGAAACAGCTTCATGATAGGTGTACTCAGTTCCACTAGCAGGATCCCGTACAACTATGGAGCTCTGGTCTACTAGATTCTTTTTGAGAGCTTCATGAAGAGGTAGTGAAGCACCACTAGGCTGTGTATAACTTCCCGTAGCGAGATCGAGGCGACCAGAAAACAGTCCAGACTCAAGAGAATCGCCGAAACTCTTGCCCTCCAGAATTCCGAGTTCTAAGGCGGAATTCAAATCGTGCTTCTTCTGTGTTACCGTGTCCAGCACGGTTCCAGCGGTGTCATCGACGATTCCTTCTTGTATGGCTTCCAGAAGTGAGATTTTCTTGTTGTTTTTCTTATCCACTACGGACGTGTCATAGGGGTTGAACAAGCCTTTGATAATGGCCTCCTTGAGAGTCATTTGACGGTGAGTATCAGGATGTGTAAACATTCCATCCTTGGCATTATACCAGCCCAAACTAAGAGCGCGGCCAAGAGTGTTGTCCACTTGGGGAGCGCCAGTTGAGGTAGCTTGTTTTTTGGCGACCTGCGTTCTTGTCTGCACTTNCCCGTAGCGAGATCGAGGCGACCAGAAAACAGTCCAGACTCAAGAGAATCGCCGAAACTCTTGCCCTCCAGAATTCCAAGTTCTAAAGCGGAATTCAAATCGTGCTTCTTCTGAGTTACAGTGTCCAGCACGGTTCCAGCGGTATCATCGACAATTCCTTCTTGTATGGCTTCCAAAAGGGAGATTTTCTTGTTGTTCTTCTTATCAACTACTGACGTGTCATAGGGGTTGAACAAGCCCTTGATAATAGCCTCCTTGAGGGTCATTTGACGGTGAGTATCAGGATGGGTGAACATTCCATCCTTGGCATTATACCAGCCCAGACTAAGAGCGCGGCCAAGGGTGTTGTCCACTTGGGGAGCGCCAGTTGAGGTAGCTTGTTTTTTGGCGACCTGCGTTCTCGTCTGCACTTTCACAGAGGTATGAATCGCATCCCCAGCGTTGTCTAGAACGCCTCCTGTGGGATAAATCCGATGCTGTTGTGCGGCTTCAGTAAATGACAAACGCTTATTGTCAATTTTGTCAAGATAGTATCCTCGTTTGTCTATTATACCCCATTTTTCCGCTTCAGTAAATGACATTTCACGACCAGTGAGAGCATCCCGGACTGCGAGATCTTCAGGTTGGATTTTTCCAGCCAGTAATGCTCTTTCAAGGGGTAGTCGTTCTCCTGACATATGATCGACAAGAACGCCCTTTGTGGAGTCGAATGACCACGACTGTTCGGACTCCTCTACAACAGGGACTCCGACAGGGCGGAAACTGATCACAGGTCCTCCGCCAGACGGTATGTGGATTACATTCTTCGGAACACCACTTGCAGGAACGACCGGCTCAGCATCGATAACAATGACACCAGCTTCAACCGCCTTTTCAATATTCAAACTTCGACCATGATGAGTCACTGACCCGTCTTCTTCCATTATCTTCTTCTCTAAAGCTTCTTTGACATTCACCATGCGTCCGGACTTGGGGTCTTTCACAGAAATTGAAGACGCGTCAATTATACCGAGTTCAATGCCGTCGGCAAAAGTTATGGCACGATCTACATTTGGTGAAGTAATATTTCCTGTGGTAAGATCTATGATTCCTTTGCGCTCAGCTTCATATAAGTGGTATCCGTTTCCGGGGACCTCCATTGCACCTTTACCGCCAGTAATTGCTCTGTAAACTGACACTCCACCAGGTCCACCAAGAGCGGTGGTCTCCGTGGTGCGCACACGCTTAACCGTAGTTACCGACTCTTCGATATTCTTGTCAGGATAATACTTTGGTGCCAACTGCTGTCCAGTTTCAGTCACGCTTTCGGTTGTCTTTTCCTCTATGGTGGGTCCAACGCCATTACTCTTCGATGGTACAATCCATTCACTAGATGGATCAATAAGGCCTTGGTTTAGAGCGTCATCAAGGCTCATGTCGATATCTCCTTGACGGAATCTCTGATTGCGGGAATCGATGAGTCCCTGCTTCATTGCTTCCGCGAGGGTAACTTTCACTTGATCTGAAGCGAGTTCAATTCCAGGCTGACCAGGGCGACTAACTCGCTTTTTGTGCTCAACCTTCTTTACAGGAGCAATGAGTGATGGGGAGACGTCAAATAGGGCAGCAGCTTGGATGGCTCCACGGAGGCTGACAAGACCAGCATCGTAGGCTTCACGGGGAGTCATTTCGTGTTTTGTGCTCTTGTTGAAAAAGACAGCTTTGGTGTGATCGACAATTCCCTTTGACACTGCTCGCACAAGGTTCAAGTCGTAGTCACCACGATCACCTCTGATTCCAAGTGGCTTAATGAAAAGCTCATGCAGTGTTTGGTCGATGATCGTTGTCGCTTTCTGATCAGAAATGAGGTAGCTTTCTTGGGTGGCAAGATCGACAACGCGCTCAGCATTAGGTATAATAGCACCTGCCTCGCACGCCTCGTTGAAGCTCATTGTCTGACCAGTGCGGGTGTTCTGTATGCCTCTTACATCGAAGATGCTGTGGCGTACTCGCTTACTTAGGAGCCCTTCCCTAACGGCTTCGGGAATCGTGAACTCCTTCTGTTGTTTTTCGAGAATAATTTTTCCATCAGCGCTAAGAATTCCTCTCTCCATCGCCTCCGCTATGGAAATCACGTCCTTCTCGTCGGGATCAACAATGTGGCGCACTTCAGCGTCCAGAAGACCAGCAGCGATGGCTTCCAGAATAGTGTGTCTGTGCTTCGTCCCGCGATCGATGAAGTGATTGGTCGAGTCGATTAGATCTCTTTCGAACATTTCGGTGAGCGAATATGGCTTCGAGATTAAATCCTCCTGGAAGGCTTCTCGAAGAGACAAAGTTCGTCGAGTCTGCAGATCAGTGAAGTTGCCGTTGCGGGTGTTGATTGCATTACGAAGCATGGCATCTTTAAGATTTAGACGAGTGTTATCAGCAGTGTTCACGATTTCAGGAACGTAGAGGTTGAGAAGACCGAACTGTTTCGAGCAGGCTTCTCTCAAAGTAAAGGTATCCTTGGTGTTTTTGTCAACAAACTCGCCGTTATTGGCGTTAATGAAACCTTGTTTGATAGCGTCGCTCAAAGTGATGGCGATCATCGGAATCTGTTGTGGTGAGACAAGTTGTAAATATCCGTGATACAGTGCATCTCTTATAGGCATGGATTCATGAGAGTACTTTCCGACAAAGTGACCAGAAACCGTGTTCAGAACACCTTGATCGATGGCACTGTGCAAAGCCATAGGAGGTAGCTTGAGAATACCCATTTTCACAAGCCTTCTTTGAGTGTCCATTGTAACAATCTTATGTGCTACCCAATCGTACAGGTCAAGCATTTCACCAGTGTGGATGTCGTAAAGGTGCCGCGTCTGAGGATCGTATAAACCAATCTGAATCGCTTCAAGTAGAGTCAAATCGGCACCGGTTTCCGGATGACGAATACCGTAACGAGTGTTGAGCACGTCGTTGAAAGCACCATCAATGTAGCCCAATTCAACAGCTTTTTCCAGACTGATGCGACCAGAATGAATATCGAAGAACTGCCCTCCACCGGCGCTAAGATCGAGAAGTCCTTGACGAACGGCTTCGACGAATGTAAGGATCTCCCCTGTCTGCTTGTGCAAAGTCCCCTCCATTTCGTAGAACTGAGTTTTTGTTACCGTTTCTTCTTGGTACATTTGCATTTCGTCTTCATGTTCTGTGATTTTCGCCACTCCCGGCAAATCTCCAATCACCTCGAACTCATCTGGATTTTCTTGGCCGACCACTTCATGGATCTGGCTACCTTGCACAATGTTGAGTGGAGGCATCTGTAAGCAAGAACATCTGTATTTGTTATCACATTAAAACCTAAGTCAACTGCGCAGAAACGAAAGAAGTGCGGATTGGTTGATTAGTGTTGATTAGATTTTCACTTCAAACGCGGAGCAGCTCACTCAGCAAAGAAAAATCACTAACCTTTTTACGCCGCTTTTCCTCCTCCTCTTGCTCGCGCCTTCGACGTTCCTCTTCCTCCCGGCGACGTCGATCTTCGTCATCCTTCTCGCGTTGTCGTCTACGTCTTTCGTCTTCCTCTCGACGGCGTCTTTCCTCTTCCTCTCGACGACGTCTATCCTCGTCTTCCTTCTCACGCTCCCGCCTACGTCTCTCCTCGTCCTCTCTCTCGCGCTCTCGCCTGCGCCTATCCTCGTCCTCTCGTCGGCGCCTTTCCTCATCCTCTCGTCGGCGCCTTTCCTCATCCTCTTTCCTTTTCCTCTCCTCTTCCTCACGCCTTCGAGCCTCCTCAGCGGCTAATCTGGCTCTTTCAAGTTCCGCCGCCATTCGCCTGGCGCGCTCAGCTTCCTCGGCAGCACGTCGAGCTGCTTCGGCAGCTTCTCTCTCCTTTCTAAGCCGGTCAGCATCCTCCAAAGCTTTCAAACGAGCAGCCTCAAACGCACGACGTTTGGCTTCCTCGTCTGCTTTCCTCATTTCTTCCTCTTCCTGTAAAGGGCGTTGTCCGAGTTCATTTAGCAGTTTAGTCTCACAGCAAAAAGACATGTAATTACAAAGCACTCGGAAAATCCCCGCCGCACGTGTCACTGGAGTGAAAAGCGAGAAGCACACACAGAACATTTAGCAGTGAATCAAGACTGTGCGGGCAGGTACAGCCACAAGCATAACGAAATGTACGGACTACGAAAACACACAAAACTGAAACCTAAATAGCACTGCACACAACATTCTCCGTAACGAATCTAGCATAAGCTGCACTTAATGGCTGCAGCGACGATGATAGGACCTGAAATACTCCGCTAGGGAGCAGTTAGTGAGAGTCGTAAGAATGACGTACTAGCAATATAGCTGAAACAAGTTAAAAGGCAGATGGCTGGTGGATTATTTTCGATGAAAATTAGGATAATCAAACGTATATGTAACAGGAATCAGTGATTCGGGCACAGTGGTTAATTGCAAAGACCGTCCCAGTGGACAGAAAGCGGTGATTTTCCGTGATTCTACCTAAGACTACTAGTGAACATTATCCTAGAGTAACACTTGAATCGGCGATTCCGTTTCAAAGACAAAAAGTAGGAGCCTGACGATTTCCGAAGAATTGCTAGGCAAAACAGGTTGTTAATGAGACACCGCCGAGACATGTGTTCTACCTTAAAATCCAAACTACGCAACACGTACCTGCTTTTGACGTTTCCAGTTCTGGATCAAAACTTGCATTGTGTTACGTCTTTCGAGAATTAGGCTGCTCAATTGAGCGAATCGTCTGTTCAGTGCCTCCAGTTCCTCGGTGACAATTTGAGCACCGTTCTTTGGTTGGGGCTTGGTCCGACGGAACTCTTGTTTTATGGCCGGTCCGTGTATTCCAACGATGCTATCATGGAATTGACCCATACGGCTATCGTATCCCTGTAAAAGTCAAGGTCCAGATTTTGTCAGAAAAGTATAAACGAAGGGTTCTGACCTTTGCCTCACGGATGAATTTGCCCCCTTCTCTATTCACGTTCTCTATGGCTTCAGTTCGTTCTTGTAATTGTGCATACTCAGCAACCAGGATATCCAACTGCTGCTGGTACTGCTCCGGACGCAAATCCTCCGGCTTTCGGAGCTTATTAATCGTCTCCTCGACACGATCAAGCCACGCCATCTCGTTCTCGTATTCGCTTCTGAATGCAGACCGTACATTCAAGGAAACGGGTTGGATGGGAATTGTACTGCCCCGCCAATCTCTACCGAAAGCCGAATAGGGAGCCATAAATACCGTTTCACATTCAAAATTGCTCTGAGGGAGATTTTTGGAAGTAAACAGTAGGAATTTCAATAAAACCAATATAGGTAACCGAGACGCCCATGTAGAAGTAATGGCCCATATGTACAAACCTATAGACCATCTGGGTTTGCAGGGCTCGTTCCGCTGCTTTGAGACGGTCTGCAACTTGAGCACAGACATTTTCCCATCGGACATTAAGCTGCTGAACTTCGTCTTCAAGTCTGTCGACATCAGGATGACTGTGAAAAGGAACGGTAAGAGAAGGATTAGGCGATCATGCAACATTGAAGGGAGTAAGATTACCTGCTCTGGCCAATACGAGTGCGAGCAACGTGTTGTCGTAACAGAGCTACGTTCTTGTTCAAGGAGTCTATCACGGACTGCTGCTGCTGCAGGACCATGTTCATTTCAAGCAATTGCGAGTGGTGTCCACGAAGTTTATCGAGGGCTGCCGGAAGGTCATCGAACGAATTCAGGGTGATCTCGTGAGCCTTGACAATGTCGGACACTTCAAGAATGCCATTCAGGACCGATTCCAAAACCTGCAGAGCAAAAAGTTAAAAATCATCAACCATTTTTCACTGCTTGGGAAATATTACCTTGATCCTTTCCACATACATACGAGACAAGTCCCAGAGATCCTCCCAGAGGGTACTGAGTCGATCGTTGTTGACTCTTTGGGTAGGGGTAGGATTTGGTAGCTGTCGGAAGAGCTCCTTCACATTAGCAACATCCGCGTCCAAACCCTGAAAATCGCCTACGTTAATGAACATCCCCAGAGGCTCATTCAGTAAACATTTTGTTTACTATTCACCTGTAGAGCATCTTCAAATGATTTGTGGTTCATAATGACGTTTTCAAGTTCTTCAGGGGAACGCGATATGGGCTTTCCTGTGTTATCATTAAGTTTTCTCCAAGCCTCTTCAAGTTTTCGTAGGAGGTCTCCGATTTGCCCATCAAAAAGATTCGAGTGGTCAGGCTCTGCAAAAAACCTTCATATTATCATCGGTCCTTGTTTGTAAATATTTTATGTACCTGGTGGTTTTTGACTTGCATTCAGTAAGTCCCAGAAATGTTCATTGGTGCGTCTGAGTTCCTCCTTCAGGCGGAGGGCTAGCGGATCGTTCGGATCCATCTCAGCCAGCAGCTTGTTGGCATCATCATTCAGTGCACGCATAATTGCGTCGCGTTGTTCGGGATCTATGGCATTGAATGTGTCGAGGTCCCATCCCCTGAAAATGATAACGATAATAACAACGAATAAGAAGTTGTAGACTCACTGGTAAGGCGCTTTTTGGGCCGAACGATCTTCGCCAATTCGCAAACACTAAAAGGACTTGGTGGCGGTGGGCCGGTAGTAGCCCCTCTTCGAGTCTCCAGTAACCATTACTTTGAGGTTGTAACATAATCGTAAGGAATAAACGACATATGCCATCCATCTTCTTGTGGTAATGGCCTTTATTAATGTTTATGGCGCTTTCTGTAACCAACAATCCACAAACCCGTCCGTTCCCACATCACACACTGGAATGGCATGGGCCTATTGAAAACATGAAAAGCGTTACGAATCCGATTTTTATCACCTCCCATCAGCCCCTATCAGTAGTGATCACATCCTGTCACCAACTGTATACCTATGGGCACCCGTACAACGAATCGCCGGTACCAAGACCGCACTGTCAACACAAAAAAGGGATAAAAAGGATAATGGTCAAGCCTTGGAACGATGATCACTCCCGTGTGAGGGATGCGCCCACGCATTCGACTTGCATTCACAACAGTACTATCATACTGAATGCGTATAAGGCCTATACTGTGATTGCAGTGGCCAGCCGATGTATAACTGAGAGTTTTCATCTCCAGAAGGGGCTGCTACCAAATAATAGACCCCTTAGGACGGTAGGCTTCACTGATCTGGGCGGATATCGATCCGGGATTCGAACCCGTGACCATACGTGTGTGAAGTGCGCTACTTGCAACAACACCATCTCCGCCCCAAAAGAAGGGATATGTGCATATATGAAGATAAACGCATAAAAATCACATATACATCAACATATAAACAAAAATATATAGTAGCATTAATTATGCCTTATTACTATATTCCACCTCATTTTAATTATTAGCGAATGACGTATATAAGGATATNATATCTCAACAAACAGACAAACGAATTGAAACGTACTGAATTGTTTTCATGGTATTGAGCACCATGTTGAAGCGAACCATGCGATGTTTCTTTTCCCATAACTTTTTCAGTTTCTCGAATTGCTGTAGGAGACGATTCAGGTAACCGGTCAGCTTGGGATCTGGTGGAGGAATGCGGAACACAACCGAAGGCACAGTACCCTCTGATCCAGCAAGATCGCGAATGTGCCATTTGATCAAGTCCGAGTTGTCCAATAAAACCACTTCATCTCCTGCAGAAAAAAAAGAAAAGCGAGTATTAAAAAAGAGTCCAATCAATAGGGCATTTTATGAATACGGTGCTAAATGTACCGGCTTTGATGTGAACGTTTTTGTCCGAGTAATCACAGAGCGCGGTGACGGCTATCGGGCGGCTGATGCGCTCTCCTCTCTGCCACAGCGGGGAAATTGTAGCGCAGCGTTCGGTCAGCGCCATCAACACCGAGTGGTACTTGTTTAGAATTTCCTGAAAAAAGTACAACAAATATCACTAAATAAATACTAAATTTCGGAGTTCCACTTTTTCTTTCAAACTTTCCAACTCAAGAAAAGGACATCAGGATCACCTTCATTTCATCCAGCTCTCGTAAAAGACGTTCGCCCTCTTCAAGATCAAAATCAGTGCGGTTGTAGTTGTTTTCGAGACGAATAGCCTGTTCTTCCATCCATGCCTCCGCATCGGCTGCTTCCTCGGTGAACTACAACAGGGGTTACTGTAAGGTAGAGCGCAATTTGTAAGAAGAAATAAATTTATTATGAAAAATGTGGAGAAGGGGCTTGAATTTCCACTGTTGACCTCTAAGGAGAATAAAAGAACATACAGATTTCAAATTGAGTGCATCACGGAGATGTTCTTCCAGACACTTGCTCAGCGCCAGAAGCCAATCCCATTGGTTCTGCATAGTCCTGAGATAGACTTCGATAACATGTACGGCAGGATGACCTTGATTCAACAGGGCAGCTCCTTGATTGTGCACGTCGTTGTACTGCTTCTCGCGTAATTCCATCTCATGAAGTAGCTGAAGCACAACATTTGCCTATGCAAATCAACCAGTGGATTGAGCTGCTTCTCAAGTCCATTGATGTAGCCACGAGGCTCACCTGTTTGTAGTAATTCGTCAGCATCGGGAGATCGAGCTGCTTTACGTCTGACCAGTTGCGGGTGACTTCGATCTCCTCACGTTCGGATACCCACACAAGCTCCATCTGAGCAGCTCGTACGAATGCGATCAGTGAATCCTGCAATATGATGGCGATAGATGAAGCAGCACTGCAAGCATATGACTGATCCCACGTCGTACCAAATCTAGCATCCTTCCCGCAGACAGGTCTCTCAGCTGCTGATATTCGGATTCAAGCACTCGAAGTAGCTCACAATACTCGTAAGTATCTTCCGCGGAGACTTCCGCCTGAAAAAAGTGAAACTTTTCATGCGATAACTTTTTAAAAAGATGCCTTCCAGAATGATTTATTGGCTCCTCTCCCTAGCATCTAGTTCGTTGAAAGGACTGAAAGACCATCATGGAAGGTCTAAGTTGTGGTCTCAAGGGAAAAGTTTTCTTTCAAAAAAGCAACCGAAGAAGAAAATACAGTGGGGAAACGTTGCCATCCAAAAGTTACACTCCCCGTTCAACGCCTGCCTTTAAGTGCCTATGAATTTTTTCCCATCTTCCCTAATCGACATCAGTTCCTTTTGAAAAAGTTTAAGACCGACATTAACATATTTAAGCAATAAGAACTCATTGTTCAAGCCGAGAGAAAAGTACAGGTCATCACTCCACTCTGCTTTTCCCTATTTTCTTGTCGTCTTCCTTCTGCTTAGGACTAAATATTTCTAATACTTCCTTTTGATTTCGATCTGCAATGAAAACAACTTTTCCTTTTTTCCGACATGTCCACCCTTAGTTAGCGGTCTTCTGGATGTTTCGAAAACCCAGAGGAATGCATGTCTTCACTGGGCCCTACTGATAGTGGCTCCGCAAAATTATATGTCCCCATAAGAGTCGCCTTGACTCAAGAGTCAATGGGAACCCTCCCTAGCTTAGCATAACTCCCCCACCATCATTATGACCAGCGAATCAGAGATCCCATTTAGAAACAAATGCAGTATGTCCGGTCTTTCCCTCTCTGCATCTGGAAACAACTTAACTCCCTAACCTCCAAGAAGTGAATTAGAAAACTTCCATGAATGTTCGTCTAGATTGGTGGTGTGACCATGCGCACCCAAGGTCTGCCCGGAGCCGCGTACAATTACGCACAAACATTGAAAAACTGGCCGTCCGCCTGCCTAGGGTACACATTCCCATAACAAAACCAACAATTACGTCTGTGTGCCACCCAATGCTAGACCTTTTCAGAGGAAGTAGTGGCTAGAACACTTTTCAGAGGCTGTTAACCCCTAAAATGGTGAAACCGCCTAGTAAAGTGGACTTTGACACACCTGACGAGCAATACACTCGTCAACGTTCTGACGGAAGTCTTGGATGTCTCTGTTGTCCAATTTGTGCTGCTCAAACATTTCTTCCAAGGTTTCCAGATCTTCGAGGAACTCCATTTCGGATAGTTTCTCCTAAAATTCCGATGCATCAAACATAAGATCTGGTAGATGGGAAAAAGTTTGGGCTCGTACCAGTCTCACGCGGACCCATTCGATACATTCTTGTACACGATTGAAACTGGAAGTGCGAATTGATTCAAGACGGCTTGCGTTTTCTTTTCTCAATGTCTCGGTGCGGACTCCAAGACGAACTAGTAATTGATTCGTAAGGCGATCCAGATAGGCAGTGCGACGTTGATGAAGGCCATACACTCTGAAAGTAATACCCAGTTCATAATTCTCTCAATATTCGCCAAACACCGAAAAGGAACGTACTGTCGATAGAAATCATTGGCTTCTGGGTGGTTTTGTGACTTGAGTTCCTCGACATCATCGAAGAAACCTCCAATAGGAGGCTCCAAGGCATTAAGATCGTCGACGATCTCATTTACAGTCCTCTCAATCTCACCAGGGCGAGCTGTGTCCACACGTGATTCGACTTCCTCAATACCTGGAAATTTTGTTTTCAAAGTGCGTCTAGCCGTTCGGGATTCCAAGTAAAGCCTCTTACGATTGAGAATCAAATCGAGCTTTTCGTTTGTGATTCCAATTCCACGGGACAATCTGCTAATCAAGTCTGACAAATTGCTCTGTAATGGAATGACCTGAGAGTATCGCCTTCTGTCAAGGGCGACGGGAAGAACGACAACGTGTAAGTGGGTGGTGTTAGTCATGCAAATAAAAAAACATGCACATTAATTACAAAATATAAATCAAGACATATTAGGGCAGGAAACGAACCTGAATGATCTTTTGATGAAGGGAAGCGAGTTTGTGATCATTCAGGTAGGTGAGGTTCGACCAAGCTTCTGTTAGTGCGTGTTCAGTTAGATTTCGTGGTATACAAAAGTGATCGGTGCCAGACAGATGACGTCGTAAAACTTCATATCTTTCCATTAAACGATCATATTCTCTAGCACGAGTCGCCATACTTTCACTGTGATATTTCTCAAATTCACTGAGAGACTCGCTTCGCTGTGATGATGACTGCTGCATGAAGAGCGTCTCATTATCTATCAGTGTAGTCGCTCTCTCCACCAATTCCATCCATGCACGTGCTTCCACTATGTACTGTTCTTGCATTGTGATGAACTGAGAGAAAGGTTAGTTTGAACGACACTGCAGGACAATGTTAAGTGCAGAAATCAGTTAATGTGATCGACACAACACACTTGCCAAAAAGTGGACAAAGGCAACGAGCAAAAAAAGGTACCTTGGATAGTTCTGGGAGGTGTGGTAGAGCATTGTACAACGAAGAGACATAGGTGATGATCGACTTTTCATCAGGATGATCAGTATCGACGTCTTGGGCATCGAGCAGCCGATCGACACCGAATTCTCGCTCTGCCGCAGCGAATGCGTTCTCCAGTCGTTCGCGATTTGACACTGAACTGTCGCTAACCTGGAACGAGAAAAAGGGCTATTTCTAAGGCTATCCGCAAGAAGGAGACCTTCCACAAACATTATCGAGAAATGCCCATCAATCAGTATTGGATTAGTGACTTGTTTGCCACGAAAGAATGCCACTGAAGGTCGTATTACACTGTACCGATTGATCAGAAGCAAAAACCAGAAGGTGATTGTCCCAGTTCATCCATGAAATCCCTCGTAATGAGTGGGTGGAATTTGGGGCTCCACTCGTTATGATGCTATTAACATGTTGACCGAATGACTCACATCACTGACATTTTTTGCCCGGAAAATTTTCAGAGGCAAGTCAAATACCCACATTCACTTTCAGTGCATTAGCACGCTCCCAGACCTCAGCTGGTATACCGAGAGTTTTTTGTAAAACATCAGTCACGTCACAGGAAGGAATAGAAAAGTAATCAACCGAAAAAATGATCCTACCTTGTTCCAGTCGATAAGGTTTGGCCGGTATCGATGTAGAATGGCATTGAACGCAAGACCATCTTTCCAGGACGATGAAAAGTTGGTTACATTTACCCGAGGGTAACCGCTGGTAACCTGAAGCAGATTTTATAGGCTAGGAAACCACAATCAAAAGAACACTTCTTACCTTTCGAGCCCATTGAAGCAGAGCGTCACGAGCTGAAGAGGCATCGCTGGCGTGCAAGGATTCGGAGACCTTAAATCAGCTTAATAGGGTGAGGTATGAGCCACATGCAGTTACTCCATTTGAGAACAAGTTACAACTCCACGCTGATATACTATCTGCACACCATTTCATGAACCACCAAACTCCCTGCTCCTGGGAGATAACCAAGGAGAACGAATTAACGCTTTCAGCACTCGTTTAAGGACGCTCGCTCCATGTCCTCCTTTTTCGTCTGTTAAGCGCGTTTAATGCTCAATGACAAGACAAAGTCAAAACCTCTTGGAAAGCATTGACTGGGGTATGTACAAACGGCATTCATGTTTGCGCTTTGGCTAAGAACCCCCACAAGAGAATGAGCGAAGGAGGTGGGTGAGGTTCTGAGAAACTACTCGCCCAGGAATTAAAAGACAATACATATAAATTTTGTCATTTTACGTTACCATCTTCTTCCAGGTAGAACCCGTTTACCATGAATGGTAGTGAAATCGCTCAGAACCCTAAGTATCATCACATATCGTACCCAAGCGACACATTTCCGTCCGAGAAAGTTAATTCAGGCCTCCTGCAGGTTTAAAATACCAGCTCTATGCGAGCAACCATTGTAACAGGGTGTGGCCGGCAAAGCGAAGCAGTCAAGGTTCCAAAACCGGATTCTACCCGCACCGTTTTCCGTTCAGCTATCATTTCTCAGTAGCGAGTATTGTGTAAGCGGAGTTATCTATCAATTCTATGACAATTTCAGTACCATGCAAAGGAGAATGAACAGTGAGAGCGATACAGCCCTCATAGGAACTGGTTTTTTGCACACACTAATTACTGGAATACTTTGATTGTTTGTAGCCATAAATCACACTAAACTGCAAGAATTCTAGAATATGCTCATGGGGTGTTAGCAATTGAGTAATCATGGATCCAACCGCAATAAACGCAATGGAAAGGTCAAGGTGTCTGGGCGCGCTACGAGAGAAGACAAGGTTATCCCGATTGACGGGTTGACATATCAATACGGTTTGGCGGCGGAACCGAACACCCCACTTCAACGCTCTTCCAGCAAAGCCATGCAAGAGATCATTACATACATACAGGGAATCGAACAAGGAAGATCTATTACAATGAAACGATACCTCTTCGCCTCTGCGGGAGCTACGTGAGCGCTCACGCTCTCCTCGGGTCTTCTTTACACGTTGCACCTTCCGTTCGAAATGCTCTCGCGTCTCATACGAGCTGCTCTCCGAAAAAGCTTGCCCAGCATAAGCATTGTTCAGATGTCTATTATCCACAGCAAGTAGTTGTCCGTTGGCAGCGTGCCCATTTTGGCCTTTGTAATGATGTCCCTCATCATAGTAGTTGCCGCTGGACACATGGCCGTTTCTATCGGTGGCACGAGAGACCTCTTGCTTGCGTTCGGCCTTCTTCGAATATGATCGCAGTACTTTATACATGGTGAGCACAGTGGAGACCAGGAATAGTAGTAGTAGTAGTGCTAGACTTGCAGGAGCATTCCACGCGTCGCAGCGTGTACAGGGATGGGTTTGTGGGGGAGCCGCCCCGCCAAACACAGCCCCGCCCGCGCCGACATCGGCGCCCGCAACCGCAGTTGATGTGGCACGACCTGTTTCCTCCGCTGCTGACTGCCCTCGACTGGCAAAGTAATCAGAAAACATGCTACCGCCGAAAGTTCAAACCACTCAGTACTGGTTCCAGAAAAGGGCTTCAAAACACAGAAGACGAGAAAGGCATATAGAATGTGTGTGTGCGAGCCGACGTGAATGCAGATGAATGACTGCTCTGAAAGGGACGGCTTCAGAAGAGAGAGTGGCTGTTGTGAATGAATCATGGTGCGACAGCGTCGTGGGAAGCGCTTTTCACACTATTTCGAATTCTAACTCCAGAACGTGCCGAATTGATCGATAGCCGAAGACGGGATTCCATTGAACGCCATACTTGTTGAGAAGGATCAGAGAACCGGTACGACTTCACAAAAAACGCAGTATCCAAGAGGGTCGGGGCGCATTGAAGCAAAAGCACCTTTTGAATCTCTTCATGAGAGTTTTTTATTCGCTAATAATAGGGGCGAACGACCAGATCTAAAATCCATGCACCCACGGTAGGGTTTAGGTAATCGTGGAATCATTCGAAAACTTGCTTTGCAGAAAATGGAAGACAGCATTTTAAAGTCCCCGCTTGATCTGCGACCGTAAAAGAATTTTCACAATCGTTCACATGCGATCAGCACATCCGCCAATTGTTGGCTGTCACCATCACTAGTCGACCGGTCTCACCAACTACACGCATCTGGACATCACTATGGGAATGTTTAGTGATTAATGCAGAACCAGATTGAAATCGTTTCGCATCATTCACCAAGTGCACCACGGAGGTGGCATGAACTTGAGGTCTGCCCGACATTCGGCCAAGTTTTGGGGACGAATTCCCTTCTTTCAGTCGGTGCGGTGGGCTCCCTATCTCATTCTCCGCTAATGGGCGGACAGTTTATCGTAAAACTCTTGGCCAAGTGTAAACAGGGGCGTGGTCGAGTAGAGGAGAAATTTGAGAACTGCGATACATTTCTTATCGCCCACGCATCGTTCACACCTTTGGGGCCAGAGATGACTACCAATCACGCCCTTATCGTCATCGACTATTGAACATCAGCATAGTGACTGACAAGGGCATAGGTGTGCCAATCTATGGGACCATTCGAGACCCTGAATCGAGCGATGATTCAGCTCCGTTTTATGAAATGGCATTCAGCATGCGCTCACGCCTTATGTCAAGATCCTTGCGGGAATTCAACCATAACGGTTTTCAAAGTCAATGACGTTTATGGAAAGGCATGTGCGACCAATTTCGAAACAGCTCAAAGGAGACGACTGATCATGGCTTGCCTAAAAAGAAAGACAACGCTTTCTTTTATGAAAACACAAAAAAGAACTCTGTGCCTATGTACCAAGTGGCGCTGATCGATATAAAGGACGCTTTCTTAGATTCCCTGAATGTGAAATGTTCATTAGAAGGGTATAATATTCCAATCATCAATCATTATTCAATGAATCGATTGAATGGCCCATAAAAGAATAAGGCTAGTGATAGGAAGTGCAAGATGTTGTTGATATTGAATGCATCTAGTCCACTATTCTGTCACCACCTTCTACTTCGAGCTCTACGAACTCAACAAGGACCAGAGGACAGCTTTGGGAGCTTCGATAGTTCACAATGGTGCAATATGTAGAAGACCTGCCTGAACCGTTCACGTTCAGGACGAGTTCGAGTGAATATGAGTGCTAGGAAATACTTGACGCTTGGGCTGTGTGCTTGCTTGCTTTAATCACAGGATTACTAAAGTTTGTTACCAAGCAGTCAGGGATGAGCCAAGGACACCTCAAGACATTTCGGCTACGCCTAGGTATCAACCTTACATTACTAATTGAGAAGGAAACTGTCTAGGACAAAGAAGTTCTGCTAGAATCACTAGGATGAGGTTCAAAAAGGTGGCACTATAACATTCCCTTAGTTCTTTTTTTGTAACCTGCTAATCAACTCTGTCACATTTTGCAGTGATGTGAACAGGATCAAAACACGGCCGCACCCACCTTTTCGTAACTCCACACCCAATTTGGCCAATCATTCATAGTCCCAAAAATGACGTTCAATATTTACCGGCCACGCCCTGCCACGAGATCAAAGTTTTACACAATCAGGAATGAAACTAACTTTGAAAACCGATTATTCTATTGAACTGTAAATTTCGATGAAATTGAAACCACCAAAGCCAAAACCGATTAGGTTCAATCCGGTATATTGCTTAATAGCACTCCTATGGTTACAATTACTAGAGATTGCTTCTGTGACTGAAACTCGAAAGCTTTTTTTCCAATGACCGTTAGGGTTTTATGGTAAATGTGTAATCGAAACAGTTATGAGAAATCGTCAGTAGAGGTGAGGTGCATTCCCTACGTGAGCATGTAGGCTACAAAAGTTATAGGCCCTCTAGCTCTCCCTCACACATTCGTTATTGCTGGCCACTCGATGGAGATTAGGCAAGATGAAGAGGGTACTGTCCAGCGATGATCCGTTGTAGGGACCGAAGACAAGAGGAATAAGTAGTGATATATCAACGGAATTGAAAATCACAAAGTCTGAAGAATCGGATCGGTTGCAATAAGAAAAACCTGCTCACAACAGTACGTTGTGAAGTTCATTAGCAATAAAGACCAACTACATTGCGAATGGTAAATGAGATGATGTCTTCACGATTCCTTCTTCTCTCTTCCCTCTAATCCTTAGCATACTTTTTATTTCGGGCAGACTAATTTATAGCTTGAATCTGCATTTCTACCCTTGATACTGCTTATGGTCACTTCTGCTGTGGTAAATGTAAGTAAGGATGGCTTCCTGCACTCACATCCTTCAATACTTTCCCAGGATACGGTCAAATTAGAACTCCACACTATTCCGTTACCCTTTATACTCGTATGCTCTCATATTGCTTCGACGGTCACACTTCTGTATGTTCATTTGCTACAGTTTCGTCCCAACCCAATTGATCTTTTCCAGCTCCCGAAGATGGACAAATACCGGGACGCACCTTACTAGCGCTAAAGGTACACTGTGTGGTGGCAGGATGTGATGGACTGTAATGCTCTGAAGGTGGAGACGCAAGTGGCATATTTGAGAAGAAGAAAACTAACACAATCGTAGGAAACACTCCACCATCTCGTCAGTTACTATTTCTTGCATGAGTCAATGTCGACTCCATTCAAATGGGAGTTTTTGAGAAGGAAGAAAAGAAAGCCAGTGACTGGGTGAATTCTCGCTTGCAAAAACCATATCTCTAACAACTATACCAGCGGTTTCTCTTGTTAGCGCTGTTTTCAATGCTAGCGGTATGTTCTTATTATACTTATCTGTGTATGATCATGAGCACTGGTAGCCACTTCGAAGAGCTTCCCAAGATGACGTTGCTGACGCCCCAAAAATTGCGATCCCCAACTCGCCGCTTCTAGGCATCCACCGAAAACCACACAATTTTCCCCCTAACTCACCAATTCTAAATCATTCCTGCTAATTCTATATTCTGCTTTTCGCATAGAAGGCATAGAGTACACGATAATTTTGTGGTATCTAGTTTCCGACAAATTATGGAAGTGATAATTCAGTATAGTGCAAAATTGGCGTGGAAAATGCGAAAATCGGCGTATTCGGTGGAATATAAGGCTCCCAAAAAAGTAAAATTTAGGGGTTGGACAAGAACAGTAAACAGCTTGGGTGCCGGCGCGCGGGCCCTGCCGTGAATGGTGTAACCACTGCAGCTTTTACAATGTTTAGGAACTCATTAGGTTTGAATGTGAACGTCGGCTAAGCCGATCTAAAGGCACAGTTCGAGAAATGGTTCCTGAATTTCCACCAAGGAATACCCAGTGGCCCCCAAGAGTAACAGGAAGTACGCTGTCGAGTCCCAGGACTCAACAGCTAGGGCATAGTGGGAGCCCCGTTACCGGATCGCCCCGACTTCCCGCCCCTCGATCAATGTCACTTCAGACGAGTGTCGCGGCGATACAGACAGCAATATTCGCTTTAGGACCCATATACAATCAGCTGATCGCCGAGTAAGAAAGCGATCTTTTTCTCCTATCATTTTATTCCCTGTTATTCTTTTTGCTGCTGCCATCCTTTATTTAGTTTTCTACTCCAAGAGGCGGAGCTATTTTTTCGTTACTAGAGTTTTTTATTAATTTATACTTATGAGTGAAGAGGTTTTTTCTCACTGTAGTCAGGTATTCGCACCAGGACCTACAAGTACGCAATGACACTTATTATATAACTCGTCCAGAGGACCCATTCTTCTTTCCATTTTCTGGTTTCATTCTCGCACAGCTCCCTTTTCAACGATCTCTCGAAGCCTTTTCTCACTCTGAAAACACAGATTCACGCGTTTTCTTCGCCTTCATCGCACTATTTTCCATCTTGTCTTACATTTTCTTCATAATCTGGATTACATAAAATTATCCTGAACTGTGTCTTTAAGCTTCTCATAATCTATAAAAACCATACATCTGTTGACCCCGTTTCAGTTCATGCTCAGAATGAGGCAGACGTTAAAGCCACAGTTCGTGATAAAAATGTCTCCTGAGAACTCTTTTTAAATGAACCTGTGTCCCCGAGTATAGCACAAGGAAGGCTGTTGGGTCAATAATTGGCCTAGATAGGGCGTAAGAAGGGCCCCAGCTTAAACCCATAGGCGGACGAGTTATCGCCGCATTGTATAAGCTGTAGAGAGTGCACCATTCGCACCGGGCGCACACATTGCACGTAGGCAGCTTACTATAGTCAGCTGTACGCAATAGTACAGACACTAGGACAACTCGTCCAGTACCCCTTCCATGCAACTTTTTCGTTACATTCTCGTTCAATCCCTAATTCCACTACTTTTTTGAAGCCTTACATTCCTCTGAATATGCCGAATGCCTAATTTTCTTCCCCACTTTTGCACTATTCTGAATCACCACCTCATTATTCGCCTATAACTAACAGGTACTAAAACGACAAGCATTAAGATGTATTGTAGGGCACTCTTCACAGCACTCAAAAAAGTTAAAACCACACAGAAAGGAAGCTCCATCAGTGTACGACTGTGTTTTTTCTACAAATTTTGTCATTTTCTGTTATTGAGCCATGAGGAATTGAGTCGTACAAGAAGCGCTTTAGGTAGATTATTAGTAAAGTGTTAACCTGGGATGAGTTAGAAAGCGTTGATTGCTGAAGGGATTCTTCTAATTGACGTCGCTTAATGACAGAAACCTGGAAGTTCAGGATGATTGTCCATATCAAGCCAAGTGTTAGCTTTCCATTGCCCTCAACGATATCCTCTGGTCGAATATTAACCAACTTGATCTGAAATAAAGTGATTTCAGAAGCGATAAGTTAATGTATTCTAGCAACGCTAGTGAAGATTTTTGTATCAGCTTGACAGACCAAGGTAACTTTCGAGATTACTTGTTGCAGACAAAGTAAATTGAATTACTTCCACATTTTGGGACAGAAATGCCTTTCGATGTAAGGGTGGATCTTTGAATTTGTTTCCAACCATAAAAGTAGGCTCCAGGCAAGCAGAAAAGAACGACTATCTTCACTCGATCGAGACCTACCACTGTTATTTCTCGAAAACCCTATCAATCACATCTATAATGCGAAGACAAATAACGATCGATTCCTGTTGTAACGAGCAAGCTACAAAACTATGAAAAAAGATATTTGCAACGTCCGCCGTCCCTAGCTGTTTTGCCAAAATGGAAGGAGACTTCAGAACAGGTGGCCGACATAAGAAATCATTCTATCGGGCTAATGACTGGAACCTTATGTTATAAGAATATGTCAAGACACCCTGGCCGTCTTTCTTTCTGCTTGTTCTTCTTCAACTAGAGAGGCCTCGCATGAATGGTCGCTTTCTCATTCAATTCATGATCCTTCCGGGACTCCTACACTTGTATGCCCCCTAGCCTTTTTACTTCTACAGTCGGCGACACGCTTCACACTCATAGACCAAATACCTTCGCCTAATGAGTGGTGTGAAGTAGTCTAGTTGAAAGGCAATGCCATTCATTTCGCACGCTCACAACCCGAAGCAATGACTGACTATGGACTGACCGTGGCCAATTGTATCAATGCCATACAGTCACGTTATCGTCGTTTTAGCAGAACCATTGCCCTCGATGGTCTAGGGAAATGTAGTACCCTTGTCTTCACTCAATATCTATGGCTTAGACCGTCCAAAAATGGAATGACGGATTTGATCAAGTACAGCAAATGGATTGATTCACAGGGTTGATCAATAAGACAGCTCAGCGCAGAGGCATTTAAAGGACTAAATGTAATGATAAATAGCAATCTGAAGAACACCATAAAAATCACAATAGTATTTGACTCAACCCTATGGAGTCAACGAAGTCTAGCGACGCGCAGCAGATATGAAAAACGACTAACATTATTCAAAAGTTCGAAATTTCACTGAAAACAAGAAGAAACTGTGGGAAAACATCGACAGCAAAAAACAAGTTTGAAAAGAAAGGAGGTAATGGGATTCTAAAAACTTGCGTCACTACTTCATTGATCCCCGGGACAAGACAAGGTGTTTTTGCTACTGCCGACTAAGTGATCCGTCTGCAGGGTGCCATGAAACCAAGCTCAAGAGTGGCCAGAAAAGTTAAGTTTGGGACGAATTGAGTTGTACTCCGAACTGAGCGGAAGACCTAAGCGAACCGGTAAAGATGCACCGAAAACATAAACAAGTGTACAAGTACAAGTATACAGTGAGATAAAAATCCTTATCAACAGGTCGTTAAGAACAAGATAGGAGCCAAGAAAAAAATAAGCTAAAGTGCAGATTCACTGAAAACAGAAAGAAATGGTGGAGAAACACCGACTACAAAAAAAAATTGGAGTCTGGAAGGAGAGGTGGTATGGGGATTTAGGGAGCTCCTCATTGATCCGGCTTTCCTGAGTTGTAAAAGATTTGATGTGGGTAGAATAGTACTCGAAATCGCCAACTGATTGATAACCCTCTGGAGTAAAACCGGTATTTTTACTGCTACCGTATCTAGGAACCCGTCAAAGGGTTTTTGTGTGCCATGAAACTGAGCATTACTAATAGGAGGCAAGTAAACTCAAGATTGGGATGGATCAGGATGTACGATGAACTGAGCGCACACTAATTACAGCTGGTAATAATGCACTAAAATCACAATGTACCAAAAAAATTGTGAATTATAGGTAATAAAGTACAAGAATGTGCGCGAAGAAATATAATAAATATGTATGACCACAGATTTGTGGATAGGATGGTAAGGAAAAACCTGCCATGAGAAGAGAATTCTCTCAGTTGCGGGGTCACATATTTTCTTTATCAAGACATCTCAAGACCGGATAAAACTGCTGGGTGTTAGCAATAATGGGGCTAGGCTCAGCAAGTGCGCAAACATGCGCTAAAGGACTTCAGAAATGAAGGGTTTTCTACAAATGTTAGAGATCATGCTCAAGTACGATCTATTAGCCGGAAAATTACTGAGAGGAGTAAGTGGTATAGAGGAAGGAAGGAAGGAAGGAAGGAAGGAAGGAAGTAAGGAAGGATAGGCGTTCTTCTCGAGCCTAGCCCTCTAGGATTTGTGGAGCAAGAGCAAGAAGTTCATAAATTGTTCATAATGAATTCGATTTGAATGATAACAGGAGTATTTGCCAGCTTCCAGGATGGGCAGAGAGTGGTCTTTGCCTAGAACGGTTCCAACATTAAGAAAGCGTGGTAGAAGATTCATGAAGAAAAGGCGTTTACACCAGCACAGAGTCCACTAGGATGTAAGTCATGGAAGTCGCCACGACTTCAGTTGACCACGGATTTGAAAAGAAAGAAAGATCACTCTAAGAGCGAACACATATGAGAACTCCTTTTAAGTATGCACTATCATACCAAATAGATAACTTCGCATCTTCACTCACACGACTATGAGGTGATTTCATTTGATTGGTCGGCTGTCAACTTTTCTCACTTTTCTTACCCACTAAACTCAATCGAAGTTCTACCGGTTCTACGGAATAGGAAATTCGTTACCCTTTGAATATGGAAGTAAAATTAACTCGATCGAAAAGATGTTAACATTATGCGAACAATACATGAAATGCTATAGACCGTGAAAATCAAAGTGAAAATTATGAAGGAAGAAACTACTTCGTTGTGGGGAACATCAATCTTCCAAGGCGCCTGCTGGCAAACTGGCAGCCAGAGGGTGACTATTCCCACATTTTTCAAAATAATGCAAGTGATGCCCAAATAAGTCACTAACAGGGCCACATATTATTTGGAGAATATGTCATGACCACATGGCTCTGATGGAGGTTCGAAGAACCTAAATTGGGTTGGAACAAAACTCTCTCCACCCGTCTGCTGAAGCCCTTCTTTGCGTTGAAAAATACTTTGGCCTAGATACACTCACTAGCATTCACGACAGCGAAGAGTTTTCCCTCGTCATGTTCCTAGGCTATCTTTCAGATACAAATTTTCTGGACCAGCAAAACTACACCGCATAACATTTCCTGTGCCAGCAATCAATAAAAATCACTCACTTCCGCAGGCATTTCAAAAACGGTTTCTTCCAGGCTGTGAAGCCCCGGTGCACTGAGTGAACAGATTCCAGATTGCATCTCATTCAGAGGGAAAAATGAAACCGCTAAGGAATCGGGGAGTGCATATCGCTATAAGTACAGTTGATCTTGAAGAGTATTCAAGTTTGGGTATAGTAGGTTCCATGTTTTTCGCGGAATCTCCCTCTTTCTCTTTAGGTGTAGTGCAATAGGATCGAAATTGTCGCGTAGCGGTGAGAGAGACGCAGCACGCGAAGGAATGTAGCAGAATGAAGCAGCAAGTCAGAAATACAGAAACAAAAGAATTAACACTGGAACATGCCAAAAGAAGAACCCCAGAACTGTAAAAACGAGGCGAATGGTCAACGGTTGCCGCGCGATCCTACTGCCCCCTCCCCTTTCTCTTTAACAGCCAAATATAAAAGCCAAATTCAAACTCGTAAAGGAGGACCCCGGGAAAAGAAAGAACGAAAAGAGACCTCACTTCAATGAATAATCGAAGCAAACTTTTGCTGAAAGTCTGTCAGAAACAAATCTCAGGCCCGATAAACCTGTTCGCTTATGTTACTCGAATAAATGAGAGCTAGGAGCTCGAAGTGACGACGAAGAATAGGGTCAAGGTTTTCCATTTTGGTGGGACGAATATTGAGCGATGAATGCTATTCGAATCAATGGCTTTTCATATTCAATAAAAAATAACGGTCTTTTCAAATATAGCCGTTCGTGGTGTTTACAAGGAGAGTTTATGTTTGACAGTGAGAAAGCAATACAAAAAGGAGCTAAAAAGAAAACCCAATCAGTGACAGAAAAGGAATCCTACAATAGTACTGATTTTAAGACAAGAACGAATATGCATGTAGGCAATACATACACATATAATATATTCAATCTAATCGCTGCTATTTTTGTGAATGTAAATTGTAATAAACAACACAAAGCATCTACAAAGCAAAGATGCGTTCCTAAACTACTTACGTTCTTTTTTCTCAGGAAGTCAAGGCAGTACTGTACATTTTGAATTCTATGAAATCGTGTGTAACCATTTTCTCGAGGCTGAAAATGACTGTCTAAAATCCATTGAAAAACACCTCAACAGGTAACTAACCAATCTATCACCAGTAAGAACTTCAAGTAAAGCGATAAGTGAGAAACCGTCTCGTAAGTCGACGAAGAGATCATTTACTTTACATTCAGCCTGAAAACAGAAAATGAAATCAAATACAACATTGCAACAAACGTTATCGAAAAAGGAAGCGTCCTAGGAAGAAGATATTTTCTTTGATACAAGTCTTTATAGAGAAGTTATCATGAATAATGGTTACTTTGGCCACCTGCAATTCAAACTCCATTCTTCCAATTACCATGATATTATAGATAGTACTTGAAGTAGTGAGCAGTTCATTGGCCAATCACTTTCTAAGTTTATTAGCCAAGTGCAGCATGGAAAGGAGGGAGGTCGCGTCAGTATATCCGTCCAATTTTTCATCCTTTGCGATGCAAACTTTATCTTTCCATCTGATTAGTGGAACTGTCATACTTCGCATTGGGGAGACGGCAGTAGGAACGGTCTTGTGTAATCGATCCGCCGCGCGCGGTTGTCGCGAACGATTCGCTTCGCCGTTATTACAGCTCTAGCATTCTTCATACAGCTGAATCGCTATGCGATCATTATTTTAGGCACGACTCTACTGTTAATATATTTAACCCTGTCCTTCTTACTTGCTGCTGCATTCTGCTGCATTACTTCGCGCGCGTCTTCTTTGGCCGCGACGCGACAATTTCGTTCCTACTACACCATACCCGTAGTACCCAAACATAAGTACTGAAGAATCGAACTTTCATTATCGGCTAGCTTCTGCTGTAGAGAAAACCGATACGATTGAATTTTCAGTCATGTATGTAATGATTAAAATTTCAAGGTTCCAACAAGAATATAAGTGTGCGACTCTTCATTGTCGTTGCGCCAAATCACAACTTCCAGAAAAACCATACATGCTTCACAAAGCCGTACCATAGGCAGAAAATGTAAAACTTCGAATGAGAGAAGAAGTGAACCAGTTATTTACCCTAAAATTCCATAGATAAGAGCGGTTGAAACTACC